GAACATGTCCTCAAATCTTCCACGGTTTGCACAGTTTTTGACAAAAACTGGTTACAAGAATCTGAAATAATATATGCTGATTGGGTAAATCTTGGTCTGTGCATTTATAAAGAAAATAAAAACGGTTTTAAGATTTAAATTTTAGCCAGTTATTTTAAACCAAATACATGAAATTTCACATTACTTTTGATTTTTTTGTATAATACATTATATAAAAGTCTTTAAAACATAATACTGAAGGACACAGCAGGTGTGACTTCAAGTGTTTGAAGAGCACATCTTACTCTGTGTGGATAGATGCCTTGAGATACACGTATTCTGTATCTTTGATTATGACCTTATCTTCTGTGTAACCACCAACATTTGTCTCTGTGATCTCAATCCAGCTGTCAAGGCCTTTCTCAAGTTTCCTGTTTGCTTTGCGCCATATTGAATCCTTGCCTCATTCTAACTTTGTTCTTTGTAGCCACTGCCAAACATTGAGCGACTCAATGGTCTCAAATTACCAGGCCAGGCTTTTGCTAATTGTCTAATGACACTTGAATTCCTCCACACATTCTGTGATGCTCTCAATCTAGGTAAGTCATTTCAAAACATATGTTTTTGTCATCCAGTTTTCCAGATGTGTACCAAGTGTCATTTCTGTTGAAAGGTGTGGACGAAAACCATTTCAGGAGTTACGTGCATCATTAAACCAAACGTCATACATGATTGTACAGATGATAATTTATTTGAGATTATCAGTACACCAGCAACACGATCAATGTTAATGCCTGATTTTGTCTCATCTTAACAGCTGAATTTTTATCTGTTGCATGTAACAAAATAACCTTTCTTTTCCTTGTGCCATTTAATTTTTTTGACCCCTAGATAAGGAAGACGACATTCCCACAATGACCACATTGCAAGCAGGTCTACTTAACGAGACAGAGTACATTGGTGAGGTCATAGCACTGGCGATACAGCTCTTAGCTCTCGCTCTTGAAGACCCTGGTACACCAGATAATCACCCTGAGGTATGAACAAGATGTCATGATTAGGGGCAGGACTATGGTAGAGATGTAGCTGGTACGGGTGGCAATGCAGACTTTCATCCCCTGGCATTCTAGTGAAAGTCAATTATAAGAAGTTCAATAATGATAATGAAATACTTCATTAGTCCTGTATTTGCCAGAATCATAAGTCAGCCACTTTTTTGGTTGTTTTCTATTTCAGAAATCCCCTTGGGGTCAATCTGTTGAAGATATTGACATCACAGAGGATAATCTGTCTGAGATGCTACGCTATTACATAATTGGAGTCAATGGAAAGGATGATGAGGTCAGTATTGTGGATGTTAAGTGTCTTCCAGATGTCTCATACTACAAATCACCATTTTTTACGGACATGTACATCTTGAGTTCTTTCCACATATCATTTACCAGTAGCTCTAAATACTGTGGATTTTTAAGACAGTTACAGGCTGATGTATTGTCCATGTGTTATGTGTACTCCAGATTTGTATTTAAGAAGTTTCCATGTTCCTACATTTCTATGCCTTTGTCTCCAAATGTTGCATATTTCATTAATTTGAAAGTATCAATTTTGTAACGCCTTGTTCTCTGGAGGTCATTTAATTTTTAGTGTTTTAATCATACACGTAGGTGGGGTACTTTTCCTGTGTGAATCGTCTTTAAGTGCGGTTTTTCTGTCCCATTTGGTCTTCAGATCGGCAAGCTGTTGAGCACTGTTCCCTTCAAGGCCTTATCAGCTGTGCAGAAAGCCTCTGTCCTAGCCTTCCTCGTCAACCAGTTGGTGTGTAGTCGACCAGTCATCCAACAGATAGAGGGCGGTATTGATAAGGTTACCAACCTGCGACGAGATAAGTGGATTGTGGAAGGAAAGCTAAGAAAGTAAGTCCTTAAAATAATATCCATGAGCACTCTGGACAGTATCAGTGTTTGATCAGTAGGTGGCTTTTGTTAGCCATGAATATTCCTGGATCTATATAGTAAAATTTAATCTCAGGTTTGATGTGATTCTGATTGATTCTGTATTTTGAAGCTCAACAGGAGTGGAATTTGTAGGATTTTGGGGTATTTTAGAATTTTGGCCCAGAAGTTCAAAATTTTATGAGGTTTATTTAATCAGGTTTAGCTACCATAGCTCCTCATTCTCAAAAAACAGTGCAGAATTTTGAATATTTTTGCCATTTTGGAGAGAAGTCATGACTTTTTAGCCATCATAATTCCTGAAATCTTAAGTGAGTTTTTTGTTGTCATTGCTGCAATCCCAATACTTTTTTGAGTATTATCAATTTCTCTGCATCCTTCAAGTCTCATCCTTGGCTCAGCCGTCAATATGCACACATACATGTTCTTGGTTTCTTCAAATGTTTTGGTTAATTAAGGACCTGAGCATCTTGAATCTCTTTCTGCTCTTAATAAAAGGAAAGAATGCCTGGTTTTGAGAGTAACTCTTAAGACATACCTCTTGAAACATGCCATCAACAACGGTGACAGATTAAAATTGAAGACTTTCTGGTTGTCATCACAGGCTCCGTACACTGCGTTCCAAGCAGTTTGATAATAAAGTGACACCCAAGCAGGAGCCTGGAACTTCTACTCCGACCCTTAATGGAACCCCAGAAAAACAGAACAAAAAAGTCAGTAACGAGGATGACGATGATGATGAGAAAGATGATGATGAAGATGACATGAGTGGAGGAGAAGAAGGAGCAGTGGGTGGGGCAGTAGAGGAAGATGGTGGGGCAGAGGAAGAAGTTGAAGTTGAATCGCTAAACGAAGGAGTAGAAGAGATAGAGAAGAAGATGGAGC